ATTGCACGTGCTTTGATACAAAAGCTGCACAAAGACCGTTTTCAAGACATATGCCACGATTTGGACTGACTGAAGCTCAATGGATAAAGACGGATGCAAAAACTCAATAGGACGGAAAGGCCTTGACAAACTTCTGGTGCAACGAACAACCGGATTTCGACTTGGATTTGGGAGAAAGCAGACAATTCAAACGAATTTCATAACCAAATTTCCGTTTACCGAATGGCGACGCAAAAGCATTGATGCTCTGAGTTTAAGTGATATGGCTGTCGAATGCCATCAAATAGCACATTGTCGGCGACACAAAGAAACAATGGGTAAGGGGTGAGAAAAAAATGGATACTCTGGCATAAATCGCATCAATAGCATAAAAACGATGTACACTTGTGACTGCGAGTGTCGAAAATCCGCACACTATCACAACAAACCATTGTCCGAGGGGTTATAAGGAAAAGAAACTCGTAATTTCATGAAGATGAACCAAAGGAGATGTTTTAAAAAAAGACTACAAACGAATCCGCCAACAACAAATTTCGCTATACATAATTTTGTGGCCATAAGAACCTCAAAAAAGGCGAAGTAAAAGACTGGTTTTGATCCAGGTTAGACAGATAGATGACAGCAAAGATACATTAATGACTGCAGTACAATAAACAAACGCTCACTGGATCCGAAATGTCGGAAGAAATTCCAACAGTGATGTCGTTGGAAGGAGTAGTTGGACGGTTGCCATATTGATTGACAGGAATGGAGATATTAACGTGAGGATTATGATGAAGTTGTGCATTGAAGCGATCAAGTGAAGAGCTGATAAGCCCAAGAATGTCCTCATCATCTCCGCTTTCCGTAGGTTCGGAAGGAGCAGCGGAAGACGAATGCGATGCCGTACGGCAGCTGTTACTTTCACCCACAGACGGTGCGACATCGCCATTGGCTGTAGGCCACATGTGACCCCTTTCGTCGCCCTGTGCTAGGCTGACTCTCTTGACCATGCTCTCAGAGGAATAGCAAAACTCTGCCTATAAATTAGATAGGAATTTTTTTTTAAAAATCATGTTTGCATTTGTAGTGGTAACTGCAAATGAGCGTGAATCAAATGGGGGATATTAGCTCGACCAATAACGACAATAACCTATCAATATTGAT